CACCTAATAACCTCATTTACCTACCTATTGCACATAGAGACGAAATAAACAATATTACCCTGCGAGTGCTCGACCAACATTCTAGGCTCATTGATTTCCGAAACGAAGAAATAATAATTCGTTTGGAATTGAAGCGAAAGTATGGTGCTGACTATCTATAAAAATAATTCATCTCCATACCCCACGCCAGTCTTCACTAAGACCTTTACTAGTCGACAACTATTGACAGCGGAAAAAAAATTGTTTCTGAAATCTCTTGGGTATCATGTTGTCCAATCAAGTGTTCAACATTTTCCGAAAACCGCAAAACGATGAGTCCATATAAAAGGTAGAGTGGCGTACCTACTATCCTTATGTCAAGTCTTTTCGCAACAACGATGTTATTGAAATCAACGTTAATCGATCGGATTCCTACGATGCTTTGTACGATAGTCTGCTATTCATTAGCGGAAAAGTTGAGAAAACCAAAGGGGACGGTAAGGTGTCATTCGTAAACAATGCTGGCGCTTTCATGTTTCAATCTGTTACTTATGAGCAGAGTGGTAAGGAATTGGAATCAGTTCATAAACTTGGAAATGTTAGTACTGTTAGAGGCTTTCTCACATACACCGATGAAGATATCAAACACTTGGCTACCTAAGGTTGGACTTTTCCCACCAATACGGGTGTCATCAACATAACACATCTAACATTCAACATGCTCATACCCAAGCTTTTTTTTGAGTATTTTCAACGATTATATCAGTGTTTTCTACGGTAAACATACCATTCGATTAGTACGAGCTGGAGATGATACCAACTGTTTCAAAATAGAAGAGACTCCTGCTGCACTAACACCGAAAACGGAAGTTGAGTTGGAAATTGAAAATATCGAACTCAAAGTTAAAGGAATCTTCCCGTATGATCAAATTAAATTGCAATTTTTGAAAGCTATCCAAGCTGACACTCCCATTCTCATACCGTTCAGGTAATAGGAACTTCATATGTTACTTGATCTCATACAAGGTGCAAAAAATGAAATATGGGCCGTCAAGACTTTCTCGTTCCTCGAAAGCCCTCGCTTTGTGATGTATGTTTCCAAAAAAAAAAAATCGTGATTACACTAAAGTCAACAATGATCCAACAATATTCTATCATTTGAATATCACCGATATAAGGCTCATTCTAAACGGTAAGAATTACCCCAATGAAAATATGCATATGAATTTTGCAAAGGTAAATTTTTCACAAGCTTATTTCAACTACTCACAATTCAGTCCCAGCCATAAAATTACTAATTAACATAACTCTCTTTTCACTTCCACCGCCTTTACAGACAAAGCTCTCTTCGTTATCGATTGTTCTAGAAGAGACGAGAGCAACAAAAGTTCCAGTGTTGATGTAAAACTTGAAATCGCATTCGAGTTATTTCCTCAAAATACTGGAGCCGTGGAGTCTATTGCATCATTGTGCAAGTTATGTATATAAAACCCTCCTTTATGCTTATTCATCAAATGCTGACTAAGTTATAATAAACTTATAAAAGCTAGCCATCTTGGAGGAGGAGTCAGTTCTGTTAGTACGATTGTCAGAGTAACTTCTGTACAATAAAGTCTGTAAATCTAAATAAAGTCTTTTCAAAAAGTGGTTCCCGTGGCCCGAAACTATAATTTGCACGACACCGTCATAGAACACCTCCCATTCAGCGAATTTATTAAAAAATGGAACTTAACATTTGATTTTGCTTTAGTATAAATCGCAGAGTCAACATGAGAATAGCTGTTGTAGATATTCAAGGCTTTATCATCGAGCGAAAATTCCAGCCTAAAGAAATAGCCATTAGGACTGGAATTTATTGCAGCAGCTTTTTACGGCTCCCAAACACACCATTTTCCTGTTTGAGTAAAGAAGATCGCCGTACCGCCTGTTACTTGAAACGAAACATTCACGGATTGAGGTATTCCTCTAGTTTTGTGGAATATAATCGATTAGATGCCATACTCGTGAAAAATCTACAAGATGTCGATGTCAGTTATGTGCGAGGACATCAAAAATATGACTAACTGCGAAATTTCACGAGTTGGATATAGGTACCTACACGCGTTGTGAATTTGGAGGGCCACGACAATACGACATGGATGATTCCCACATTCGACAACAACGAAGGTGTCTCACCCTGTATGCATCACATTCGCAATCGAACTAACTACAATTGCAGTCTCCGAAACGTAGATATTTTATACAAATGGCTTTGTGTTATGTTACCAAAATAAAAATGTATAATGAATTTCTAATGAAATGTTTTATTTCTATTTTGTTACCTAACCTCACCGCCTTATGATAATAATATACCCTCAACAAAAACGGAAAACGAAACGAAAAAACGACGAAACGATAACGAATAAATGCACGCAAAACGGTCGAAACGTACGTAAAACAACGTATTTTGAAATGTCTTTGTCGAATACTTCGCTCCCCCATTGCTTCCACCTCCGAACGTCAACTCCACAACACGTAACTTCCCAACACTTTTGAATAAATATATTGAGATCGCACGTTGAAACGCTACACTTCTGATAAATCGACATGTTTTTTCTTAAATGATGTATTTTGAGACACCCTGTATACTCCTCTAAATGTCCGTTACATTACCGCCATGTTTTTTCTCAAGTCAGATTCTTCATTCATCATTATTAATATATCACTTTCACGCTTCCAATATTTTCATTTACTTTTTTATTTTTATAATTCAACCACGCTCTTTGAATATCTCCTATACTCCGTCCATCCTTCTCTGTTTTCATTTATCACTCTGAATCGTCGATGACAGCTGACAAAACAACCGCCATAAATATCAAAATTTACACGTTGGTGTTAAGGCTAAGGACGTCTACCACGCCGATGATCTGTGTTCATTTTTCATACCGATCGTTTTCTTTAATTTAATTTCCCTCAGCTGTCGATGACCACGTGATTGGTGCGCTACAAGGGGGCTCAGGGGTAAAGGCCTGAGGAGTGAGGCGGAGTTTCAAGCGGGCCCACGCTCTTTGAATCTCTTCCATACTTATTCCACCCTTATCTTGCATCGATTACGTCAGATGTTTCTCTCTTCCACTCACTCAAGTGACAAACACCAAAGACGCGCGACCTTGAAGTGAGGTAGAGCTGGGCTTGTTCATCTACCATCATTCAACTGTGGTCCTTGATATCATTAGTTATTTCAATTTCATTCACTACTGCGGTGGTAGTGCGCCCGACTGACGATCGGTAGGCCGTGGGTTCGATTCCCGCCTCGACCAGATATTTTTCTCGAGAGAATTTATCTGGTTGAAGCTGGGATTCTGCAACCGTGCTAGGAATCACACTTAAAAGGTAAGACCTCGTTAGTCCTTAGCTCAAAGTTTTATCACTCTTGTATTTCGCCTTCCTGTGTTTGCACCGTAGACTTCACCATACAAGATCTTGCAACGGACTCAAAAAGTCTGAAAAGAATTATAATTATATATAACTTATTTGACTTTATGACAAGTATTTTGTAAGGTACAATAAAATTAAAGAACATTCTTTTTTCACAAGAAATATACTTGAGGTTCAATTTTTACACGGTTTTTATAAAAATATTGAGTGATAATTTGTTTTTTGAATAGTGTAATTATGCAGATATGTAATTTGAAAAAACGTTTGAACTTGCAAAACAAAAATCTTCGTCACCAGTTAGCTAATGGAAATTATATATAAAATCGAATAAAATATAAATCAACGAGCACCTCTTGAAAATTAATTCAACTCTACCTTTTACTCTCATGATTTATGTGATTTGTGTCAAAGTTATCATTCCTGCAACAAGTAGTGGCATTTCCGTATCAAAAACTTTTTGAGATATTTCCTGAACAATGTTGTTTCATTCTCTCAATTCTTTCAATGCATGTATCTTATAGCATTCAGTTGCCATATAATTGGAATATTCCAAACTAATTGATAATCTGGAGAAACCTTATTTGCATGTATTCTTCAGTTATGTATAATAATTGTGAATGTACCTTCTTGTCTTGAGAGTGTCATGTTTATTAATAATGTAAATAATTTGTTTGAAGGTGGTTGACGAAGTTTCATGGTGCATTTCACTAGTTCGGACTTCCATTGTCTAATATGATATAAAATGATTTGAAATCCCTGAAAGAATCAGTCATCACCCGAAGACGATTGTGGATACTAACAATCGAAGCGTCGTGAAGTAACTTGGCTTGAAATCTTTTAATTTTAATTTCTTGTTAATTGTTCAATTTTCAATTGTTGCTTATATTTTATTTCATTGTAATTTCATTTCTTTTGCTTTATATATTTGTTATTTTTTTTACCTGATCTTTTTAATTTTATTGATTCTATCAGGGATTTCAAATCATTTTATATCATATTAGACAATGGAAGTCCGAACTAATGAAATGCACAATGTAAATAATTAACGAATAAATATACAAACTTGTTATATTATGCAAGTTTCCGCTAATGAAGCAATATGAACTTAATAGAGAGGCTGCATGATCAACATGATTTAATAAATATGAGTTTTTAATCTAGATAGACACCTTAAATTTTTGTACATGCCGAGTTCTCCAGGGATTTTCCTTCAGTTAGAGTAATATACTTTTGTTTACTGTCACACTTTTTTCAATACACCTATCTTATTATAGCATTTGGTTTCTGTATAATTGTAATTTTCCTGACCGATTGATAGTCCGGAAAAACCAAATTTTAAGAGTGTCACGTTTATTAATAATGTAAACAATTGACTATAATGAAATTCCGTAATACTAAGCACTAAATTCTCAGAAATATTATTGCATTAAAAGAAAACATTGTTGTCAGCTTGTGGTTCTAAACATTCTATCACCTTCCATTAAAATCATACGCAGCTAAATGGTCATACAGCATCAATGTTCATTAAGTGAATATAAAAAATTTGAATTATATTCTGCGGCTAAAATTTATAAGAGGCTATGTTGGGTACACAGAGATGTTTGTGGGACAGAAAAAAAAACGGCAGATTATATTTGCCGTAAGATAGAGAGATATGAATATTGGCCCATCAGCTGAGCGCGGTTATATTAACATTCATGAGCATAAAATTCATTGAATAATACGTAGGGTAAATATTAATTTTTTGTTCTTTCGTCTGTTATCTAGTTATAAATATTTAGGTATGTTTCAACACTGACAGTTTCTGTTATAAAAACTCTAAAATTGGAAATTCCCTTTTCAATAATATAATAAGAAATTTATTTCAAATAAAAATTAAAGGATTTGTTTAAGGACTGGCACGAGGGAAATATCATTATAAATTAGTTTAATTCTGTGCTGTGAACTGTGAGAAATATGAAAAGTAAAAACAGTCAAACCAAACACAGACGTCCGAATTCATCTGAATGAGAAAAAACTATTATATACAATGTGTATCGGGGGACCCGTGAAAGAAATGCATAACGATGCAGTTAATCAATGTAGTACCTAATTCAAATAAAGTGTCGACGAGACACAGCATTGTATGTATGTACTGTATTACTATTTTTATTGCTCAGTATCTTCTGAAGATTTTATATTTTACTTTTTGAACATTTGTTAATTTTATGGTATTTCGTGACATGTTCTAAAGCTGTAGCTTTGCTATGAACGAAATCAAAATTAGAATTCTTAAAACAAAGCATTCAGCTTGCACCAAATATGATATTCGTAGGAAATTCCATTTATTCTTTTTCCGAAATGAAATCCTACCCTTAAAAAAAGTAGCAGCCGAAATAAATTCTGATGAATCGATGCCCAAAATATCACGTGTTTTATTGCGCACATTAAAGCAAATGAACATTAAATTTATGAAAAGAGGTAGGAAATGTGCTCTTATAGAAAGAGAGGAAATTGTTTGAAAAGAATCCGAGAGTATCGTCTTGAAGGTAGAAAGATTTATTATTTAGATTAGACTTAATGAACAAAAGAGAATTGAAACTTTCTATGTTTTTTACCACTTATATATTTGTAACTAACGTTACTACAGTTTCGTTCTATGAGGACATTTTCCAACTTATTCATTAAACATTCTCGTTTCTTCATTATGATTTCGCACCACGTAGTAACGGCTACATCCATCAATTTAGATTAGACTTGGTTGAATCAAGGCCATACTGTCTCGAAGGTATGGTAAGATTTAGAAATAAAAAGTTGTTGACAAGCTTTTATTGAAGGCTTCTTTCTCAACCGGATTAAAAGCGCCAGCTGGCAAAAGACAGAGGCAGAGAGTAGGGTTTTTTGGAAAACCCTTTGTTACTCTTCCAGTTCAAGAAAACTAACCACCACCACGAGGAAATGGACGCGCAAAAGTTTGAAAGTTGATTTTCAAAGATTTCACCAAATCTTGAACTAAACTCTGTCGTCATCATGGACACAACTGTCTGGCAAAAAGCTGATATCATTAACTGGCTGTCTCAAAAAAAAATCAACATTCAATATAAAAAGTCCAATTACTCAATACTGCAAGGAAATATACAGCAAGCGCCAAACGTGATGGCGAGCCAGACCCCATGCGCACAACTCATTTTCAATGTAACCCCCACTACAGATCTTGTAAGACACACAAATGCTCTGTACAGAAGCGTTTGGCATTGTCTGAATAATTTGTATTTTTAAAACAATGGCATCGCCTAACAAAAAACCAGTCATCAAGACTCAGGTACGTGAAATAATTTTTAAAGTGTTCAACTGTTTTCAAAGTGTTAAATGTGAATCGAATAACAATAAAACATCTCTTGTTACAGGTAACAATGAATAAATTTAAAAAATTACTATTTCGACACAAATATTTATTTTGTATTAGGTATTTCAATAAGAACCATTGAAAGAGTGAATTAATGACGTTTTGGGAATTGTGGCTTCTGAAACATCTTTTCGTAGAATTTTAAAGAAAAGTTTCAAATGAAGAAGTACTGAAAATAATAGAAAAAATTTTAATAGAGAAAATGAACATTAGAGCATTAAAGATCAAGTATTTACAAAAAATCAATTATTTTCGTAGCCAACAGTGACCAATTGTGTTTCTTCATGAAACATACCTTATATGTGTGATTGATGACTTGTTTATTTTGTGGTAATTCATGATCACTTTAATGAAATGAATAAAAACACTTTTGTCTAATTACCACTACGACCTGTTTCAGGTTTGACCCCATTATCTAGTATAAAACTGAAATGTGAAGTTTGAAAACTCGGTTATATCGGGAGTTTTCATTGTAGATTTTTTGTCCAAACAGACGTGTTCATGCAGCTATATGTCAAAATTTCTACCGGTTTGGCCTATATATACCGCAGAGCATTCGCCACACTCTATTTTATATATACCTGATTTTTTCATTCTATCCACTTTGGTTCTACCTAAATTATAAGCCAAAAGATGGATATATTTTATTCATGTGATATATACTTTTTGGCTCCCCTTCTATTCCTCTTATGTTTGTGCAGTGGAATAACCCTTGAGTACTCCAACTGTTGAGCCTTCATGTTGTTTCCTGGTACATTATTTCTACCCGGTGATTTATTTATACAAACCCATTTAAAATAGATGCAGTTTCTCAAAACATATATCTTTCAACTGACTGGAACTACCTTTTTCATTAGGTAGACATTCGAGAAGTCTACTAGAAAACCAAATTTCAAGAACGAGAGCCAACTTTTATTATTATACAAGTAAAAAAACAGTTTTTCGCTGTTAGAATTTGTCTTTGCTCATGTGATGAAAAGAGAACTTTCAAATTCATTGCTCAGGAGCATGTACATTTTACTCGTTTTATTGATTTTACATGCTCCTTTATGGTGAGTTTATAATTTCAATGTAGGTTAGGTAGTAAGTTCATTCTCAAGTTTATTAATTAAGCTTGTAGAACTGTGTATACGTAATTGAGCAGTATGGAGTTTAATGGCAAAAAGTCAATGTAAAGTAATATCAAGCTATAATTCAATTTGAAATTACATTTGGTCAAAATTTTCTCGAGTAAATTAGAACAGCGAGTATTGAATTTGTTTTTTAGCTGGAGAGTTTTACTTGTCGGGCTCGTTACAAAAAAAAAAGACAAAATACTTACTTTTCAATCTCTGGAGCACAGTGTACGAACTCATGTTGCCAAAATCGGTATGTGGGGTTCTTGATGAGTTCAATGAATGTTATTAACAAACCCCAAGGATGAGGCCTATTAACAATTAACCTTTCCAGCAGCACCCTTGTAATTTGTTCTTGGATAGCCTCGGTATTGGCTTCAGCAAACAGGTATAGCAATGTACAGGAGAAATAATGTGTATGACTGTTTGGGTATCGCAGCTGATTTGCTATGGCATTCAGATAAAGGTATCGACCCTCAGTATCCAAATCCACAGAAAGATTTTGAAAGATATCCATATGTGCGCTGTGAGCGATAGTGGACATGTTGGGGCTAAGCCCCTTGCTCCTGATGTATGCAATAGCCTGTGTACCAACATAAAGAATGAGTGCATTCATCAGTTGTACGTTGTAGCGGACACCTGGGTTGTTAGAAATCTGAAAAAAAAATTGTTGTACATACAAAAAGCAGCTATACAATATTTTTGTCCAAATGAGTCAGATAACATTGGATTTGTTGGTGTTGTAGTGGACCGTATATTTTGACGGATTTATAGTATTTTGTGGTTTTTAGTTTTTCCATTCTCTTTGTAATAAAATCCCAAAGTTCTATTAAACTCTTTTTGTTGTTCATTTCACATAATTATTTATCAAAGTGAAAAGTGACATTAATTACAAAAATATGTTCAACAACTTTTATGTTTTTTCTATGCACTGTCATGCGCCTCCCATGACAATGTCTTAACATCTAAAGGGGGTAAGTTCCTGTACTGCACTCAATTCAGGTACAAACTTTCACACATCACTCCCCACCTTAAAAGTTTGTTCATCAAAAATATCACAACCGAACAAAAAAAAAGTGAATCATGGAGACACTAAGAGTTCGGTGGCAAAGGACAAATTTTAGCAAATCAACTTTTAATGAAACCACCTTGCGTTTCAAAGGTTGCCATTCTTGCTATCCCATCTTTTCCATGATGCAACTCTGCAATTTGTCCAAATGACCATCTTGAAAGCGGGTTGACTGATTGCCATTTGCAACATTGTTGTACCTCTGCAATTTAGTCAAGGGACCAAAAATGCTGTGAAGCTGTTATATGCAATGAAAATGCTTTTGTCGATTCTAAGAGATACTTGTGTGGTCTGGATCGATAACAGAAGTCATGGGTCGTCCAATTGCCAGTTTGATGAAAATATGTGTATGTGTATACATGTCTATCATATTACACTCATTTATTGTCCTAAATCACAAGTAGTTATGAACACCTTCGAAAAAACACGTTTGTATATTGGGTTGCTGCTCGTTAGATTCAATTAATAACATTTTAGGTTGATTTTATTTACAGTTTTAGAACCCCTACCTGCAAGTTACCCCTTAGCTCTGACAAGAAGGTAACGGGCGCCCGTGCTTTAAGATAAGAATCTAGATCCTTCTTGAACTGTGGAGGAGTGATCATCATAGCGATATTAGCCAAAATCCTTGGTCCATATGATATCTCTTGCAGCATGTCAACCTTCAAATTTGGGGTGAATGGATCTGGTAATCTCATGTTTCTAGGGAAAGCCGAGAGAATCAAGTTTCTCATCTGGATGCAATTGGGAGGTATGACATCACAAAAGCCATAGTGGTAGTCACAGAGAAATTCTGGAAAGTCGTGCAGAAGGACTAACAGAACCCTCAAAGTACCTGAAACGGGAAATATGTCATTAACGTTAAAAAACTCACTTCTTGTATTTTATTTTCCAGTCATTCTACGTACTATGCAGATACCTAATGAACTTCTGGTCATTTTATGAAGTGTGATTGAAAAGCCATTTTGATTTATTTTGTGAAGTTATAAAAAGCTTTCTGTCTGTGTGAAAATCAATGTCGATAAATGTCAAAATTTCAAGATTTCATATTTCAATATAGATTCAATATATACAACAAATAATGTTTCCAAAATACTAACAGCAAATTACAATAAAAATTTAAAGAGGTCAATGACAGAATATGTCCACAACACAGACTTTTGATGAAGTAGCAACACAAAAATATAATTTAAATGAAACGATTCACTGGCTGAAATGAAAGTGTAATTTGAGGGGTACTTCTGTTGCAAACAACTCTCTGGTTTTCACCAACGATGTTGGTTCAGAGGTTCCAGTTTTACATTTTATATAATTTTATTGTTGAGAGAACATTTATATTACACGTTCATAATTATTCGTTTCATAAAAAATTTATAATTGACAGATTTTTGAACAATAATAATAATCAGTGTCACTATTTTTCGAATGGCTAACTTCTTCAGAATATTACATTTTCGTAGTGCGTATGTATGCTGTGTCAGGTAGTTTGGAGTGCTGATACCTGTATAGTAGGTTTCAGGATATATGGTATAGGCTAAAGATTGTAATGAAACTAATTAGACCCTCAAGTGGTAAACCCCAACAAATGAAGGAATGGGAATCACAATTTTTCACTACCCTACACTACACAATGGGTTTAAACCAGGTAGTTTATTGCAGTTGATAAGTCAATATCATTTGGAGTGAAAAATACTATACCTGGATTAGTTAATTTGTCAGTAACATTTATTGACCTTTTTCTACCTGACGTCATGATGTTAGCTATTCTTGAACTTCTTAGAATGGGATTCCATATTCGATTGAGGTTCATAGCTTCTTCTTTTCGGTTGAAATCATCAGTGTGTTTGTGGATCTCTGTTGCCTCCTGTACCAGTCAGCTATGGTATCCCTGGTTGGGGGCAATGAGTTCCGTGTTCTGCCATAGCCGACTTGTCCGTTTGGCCTAGTCTGCAGTTTCATTCATGCTCCTTCAGCCTTCTTCCAATTCATCTTTTGGTGGTTCTGATGTATTCCTTCCCACAAGTGCACGGTATGGGATAAACCCCTGCTGCTGATAGCGGAACCCTTTTGTCTTTAGCCAACCTGAGGCTACATTGTATCTTCTTGGTGGGTTTGAAAACCATTTCTATGTTATGTTTCCCCAAGAGTTTTCAATTTTGTCTGTGACCTTAGGGATATAAGATAGATATGCACGTGCAACTACTTTAGCCTTCTCTCTGTTTTGAGCCTTATAACTCTTCAACTTCAAAATACCTGACACAGCATAAATACGCGTTACGAAACCATAATATTCAGTCATCGGATATTAACCCAGGATGTATAAACCTGTGAAGAAGCTAACCACTCTCGTCAGCGAAACGTCAGGAAGCAATTCCAAATAACCACGTCCTACGAACTCGAAAAATAGTAACACTGAAAACTGCGGCTGCGAAAGCCCTAACCATTTTGTCAATAATAATAATAATCATAATACCAACCTTTGTACAGCATTGTCACAGGCTTGGCCAATTCAGCATTTCTCAAAAACGGCGCCAAGTACTTAAACAGATCAATTAGCAGTTGGGCATACAATGGCCAACACTTTTGTTGTGGACTTGTTGCTAACATCCGGCCCATAAACACACGATGTGAAACTAGTTCAAGCCAAGCATAACAGAAGCCTGCTGCTTTGGAGGGGCGTAGAATGTGCAAAGTGTGGCAGTAGGCAGTAAGCACATGAAAGTTGATAGCTTCTAATACAGGTTCAGGAGCATTCAATTCCAAGAAGAGCATGGTGAAAATTCGCTGGTAGGGTAACTGCTGGAAGTCCGTGATGCGAGTATCGTGATCTTGAAGGAGGCAGCCAGCAACAATACCGAGAACCTTCAGAAAGATATTTATAACTTCAATGGTATAATTACTCATTCTTGATTATGAATATACAACTAAACATAAATGTTACATAATAAAACTTTATAAGACACCGAAGATATTTTTTTTCAACTATGGAAGGGAACCAGAACAAATATTACATTTTAGAAATTTCGATTTGTCTTATACACATGAAAGCCAACAGAAAGCAGACAAAATATTGTAATATTGTATTGTTGTTACCAATGTTATGTCAATGTGTGGAATCTCAAAAAATATGTGGTGAGCTTATTTGAAATTAAAAATTTCATTTGAAATTTACAATTATAACTGAACACTATACTATATGAGTAAAGGTAAAGATAGAATGAATACACCTTTGAATCAACTCGTTATTTATCTACTAACAAGTTGAAGTTGAACTTTGCAAAAATCGAAGGGGTGATTTTGATATTACCATACAAATATGAACAGTTAAATAATACTGTAGAATCTCACGAATTTGGCACTTCAATAGACTGATACCTTTACTAATCTGGCACCCCCCGCCCGCGCCTCTCTTGCCACTATACGCCTATGCGCTCCGTCGCCGCCTAGCAGTCTTACCTCAAAACTTATCACGTGCAAGTGCATACGTATTTACCTATTGTCTTGAAGAGAGAATAGTGCGCAGTTAAAAATCTCAAGTAAAAGGAAACATTATTTTATTTATTATGATTTTTTCTCTATAATCCAGTAATCCGAACATTCCAATAATCCGGAACCCTCTGGTTTTTAATAGTGCCGGATTAAAAAGATTCTACTGTATTTCCTATTCATTTTAGATGAAATAACATTCGGAGGTCCAGTGGGAATAGAGCATTTTCTATGACAGTTATAGTGTATCAGTATCGCTGGCAAATACTAGACAATGTAACTTTAATCTTCTCTGGTTTTTTAGATAATTGGAATTCCACTGGAAAAGTTTCCAAAGAGAAGCTTGACAAAAATAAATTATTGCAAGTAACAACTAAGTAAAACTCCTTCAAAGTAGGGACGTAAAAAGCCATTAATTTTGTCCACTGTCAGAATCTTGTTTTCAGTACAAGTATCCCCAGTAATATATTCTACTGAATCCTAGGTGTGTCCTAATATCAACATGGCAAATGGAAAAAAATATTTTATTCTAGATAAATTGACATAACTATTGTCCTCACAGTAAACGCATATACCACTGATGATGTGTGTCACAGCAGCAGCCGAAACGTTTGGAACTCTAGATTCCATTCAACCATGCAACCAAAAGTGTTTCCAAATGACCCCTTGAGAGTCACATTGAACTCACTTATAGTATAGAGGCCCATTTAGGCTGTTTGAATAATCAATACCATTTCAAAATATTTCAAATAGTAGAGAAATATCCAGACAATTGTAGTATTTTGAGTGAATTTTCCTTTGAAAATGGTCATCCACTTTGATGGTGTACAAAACATTGAACTTATATATCTGAGTTATGCATCTGATTATCTACAATAACCTAAGATGCTTTCTAGCGCTAATTTGAAAAAAAAGTATTCGTCTATGATTCAAATACATTTATTCTGGCGTTAAAACGATGACGTCACATCACCTGTAATTTGAAACAATGATTGTGATTAACGGAAAAACAGATTTTGGCATTTAATGTGTTCATGTATATTTTTGGTGTTTGTTTTAAGAGCGAAGAGTTGATAGAGAATAGAGAACACTTTTTTGTTGATTTCTGAAACTAACCCTTGAACAATGTATGAACTGCAACTGGAAAATTATTTCCTAGATGTGGATTCTACAATTTACCAGAAATTTCAAGGTGTGTAAAAAAATACAAGTTCTTGTAAGCAAATATGCAATCATAATCCTTTTTCTTCATATTCTGAATATGCCACCATCAGTTATTTGACTCAGGAAATAACATTTCGGAACAGTAAATTTGGAAAACAGACTTCTATCGTTGAAAATTTCATTAACATCAGATCCTGCTAAAATCATTTGGACATTGGCCAAGGACAAAACCAATAGATTGAAGCATGATATGCGTTTTAATCGTTACTGCATTTAAATAAGTGTACTTTCAAAACAATCACATTTTCTTTAAATTATATTGGATAGACAGAAGATGAAAGCAATGAATAACTGTGAGTTTTTATTCAAGGTGCAACAAAAAATTAAATTGTATAAAAGCTCAGAGTCTAATACATATTACAGAAAACACCTCGAGTGAATATAAGTTACATTGTTACGATTAGTTGTAAATAGTTGACCGCTAATTATTAAATTAGGGCAACTCTATTTGTGAAACACCCGATATATAGTTCCAGTCGACTCGATAAGTTATTTTTGAAAAAAAAAAAAGGAACGTTTTTTTCTTTCGTCCGTCCGCTCTAGGGCATTCGTGAGTGAAACTGAATGATAACGTTCGGAAGATTTGATTTCAGGCAAATTTTGGTTTTCGAGTATAAAATTACGTCTTTTGACGGATATAAACCTGCCGTGCCTTGTTGTGATATTGTGATTGAGTAATTCTGCTGTGGAGCGATCTTGCAATATCCTTATTATCGATTGGGATGAATTTTATCGAATGAATTATTTCTTCCGGACTGTTTAAAAACATCTCCGGCAATGTTGGGGCAGTCGAGCATTGGGAGATGTTTTTCTCTGATATGGTAAATCGAAATTTCGCCCGGACGGTGCTACCTTTGAGAACACGTCGAAGTGGATAGGGTCAGACCTTTTTGAACTTTATTGCCTTGTACGTAGCGACTAAACCACAAATTTTACGAAGTCATATGGATGGTGGTGTTCCTATTTCGACCGTGTGGACGTGGAATTAAGAGCTTTTCACGAATTTGCGTAGTAACGGGCCATAGGAATCTACACATCACTAGCAGCTAGATAAGTACCGATTAGAAGTTTTATTAATGGTGTTGTTTTTGCGGTATTCTGACATTATTGTCAATCATGAACCTGAATAGGTGTTTCCGAATAGTTTTGTCTTCGCCTTTGTATAAGCGTTCAGTATGTAGTATAAGTGAAGAATAAATCCGTTGAACAGGCGTATTTTGGGGAAGCAACATTCAACGTTTTTATTCTTGATCCTTTGTTATATTCCACCTTATTGTTTTCGCGTATCTGGATTGTTTAGTAGTTTCATTTCAGGTTTAGGCTAGTCGGTGCACAAGAAACTACTTGGCGCCCTTGTTATCAATTTTTTTGTACATATTTATACTTATCTGTCTGATTCAACCCACGGCCCTTACGAGCAAGCACATTACTTGCCGTACACAAAAAAAAAAGGACAGAAGTGTTATTCCTAATGTTTTAAAAATAAATGTTTCTGATAGATAATTTTTCTTTTTATTGAATTTAATGTAATAACATCAACCCTTATGAAATTTCAATAAATTAATCTGGAGGCATCCTGAAACAGAACTGTCACTGTTATCTTCATTGGATGTCTTGTATGTTATTGTCGTCTCAGAGTGTAGTTTTGGTAAGTGGTGTGTGATATTCATATTTCACTAGAGTTAAGTAGTAGTTTAACGTTTCGTATGGCTATTCCTATATACTTACTAAGTCAAAAATTAAAATACAATAATCTGAATTGAAACATTTTTTCATCTTATACTTTTTACCAAATGACCACCATTTTTCGCTTTTCAGTTACAACCCTTTTATGTTTGTTTTCCAAATAATTATACAATGAACTCACTTTATTCAATAGATGAATCTTTGTTGTGGTATTGTTCGCGTCACCAGAATGTTTTACCAGCAAAGCTACCAGCCTCACAAACGCGTCCAGTGTATGGTAACACTTTGGCCTGAGCAAAGATAAACTTGGATTCGTTTTCTCAGCCAACACTCTGTAGACAGTCTCAACACAAAGCTGAGTAGATAACCGGAAAAACCTTGTGATCAAATCATCCGTCTTTAAAATGCCGTACACATTCATCTGGTGAACAAACATGCTGAAAGCTTTGGTAGAATCTCGACCTTGATGTTGTGAGTGGTAGATGCCAATCCAGTCTCGAAGGAGCTGATCAGTTTTCTCAACAAGTCCTGGGGGATCTTCATAGTTGGGTGCTCTAACCTAAATTCAAAAAAGAGAAATTGAAACTAGTCTCCCAATTCCTGTTACAATAAGATGACAAAATGTAGAAAGAGTTCACAAGTAATTTCTTTCAAGCATAAAAATGAAAACATTAGGGATTCAGAAAGTAAGATAATTCAGAGTGTAATAAAAGTGCAAATATTCCTTGTCAATAATTATGAAATTGTGATAGGAGTTGATAGAAAATATGTTTTTAACCACATAAAATGAAGAGAAACTGCTCTAAAAAATACTTCATACTTGTGATACATGCATCTGTAACAAAATTGAAATAAAAACCACCTACTTGTAAAATTCCGTTATGAATGTGAACATTAGGTCCCATTGGGGCTCGGTCTCCAAAAAATGCATTTGGTTCATTCTGCCTGAGTATATCAATGATGTTTCCTAGACCTTCTGGTGGCTGCCTCGAGTGAGTCTGAATTTTCGCCAGCATCTCGATTGTGTTACAAAGATCACTTTCATTCATGAATTGTCCTGAACGGTCATCAATCAAATATAGTTGAACCTGTTTGTTAAGACAAATAACTGTTTCAATAAGTGATGGTGGTAACCTTTGAAAATAAAATCGATAATGTTAACAACAATGGATGTTTGATACCACTCGTCAATATGCAAAAATAAATGTTGCACTTATTTTAGATGTTAAAACTGTGTTTTATTTTTTGAAGAATTTCAACCTGGATACAAAAAAAAATGCAAAAATCCCAGACACAATCAGATTTTATTTCTAGTTTCGAGTGTTGGCACCTCTAGCCAGAATAATAGCTTGAAATCTCTGTTGCAATTCTCTTTTATCCACCCGTCATGCTGGTTACACCTTTTGAACATCTCCCAGACATATTCTACTCGATTCAATTCGAGACTGCGTGGGGGCAGTTTAAAGCTGTTATTCCCACTTCATGAAGTTTCTGAGTAACATTTTCTGAGGAGGAGCATCATCATTAATTAGCAAAAAAGGCAGTCACATGAATAGTGCAAATGGAACATGTTCATAGAGGATCTACAGAACATACTTGTGTACATTGATGGCCAGTCTAGGTACATGCACTAACTCCGTAAATGCATCACAGACTATACCTCCCCAAAATATTGGACTTCCTCCTCTGGAGATGTTTTTGGAGCCGGCCGATGTTTGCAATCCAATTCTTGTCTCTTCTATAAACAAGACGTACTTTCAATTTTGTATAAACCTTCCTACGAATTGTTTAGCAAATCTTGAACAACATGGCGTTGTCTAGTGAGAACAGTTCTGGTGGCAGATCTCATATAACTCAAATTTGCTTCTTCAAGATGTCTTAGAACTGAACGATTAGAAATATCAACAGTGCATATTTCTCTACTCAAATAATTTATCCTACAGTTGGTACACATTCTGTTTTTCAGAACGGTTCCTCCTTTTTGATAAGTAGCTTTAGATCGTCCTTGTCCTGTTATTCTTGTTATGTTCCAGTTTACTAAAAAGTTGCAATGCTCGGCTGATTGTTGTGTGATTTATGCTCAAAACATGAGCAATGTAACAGTAATTTCAATCGACTCCAATTAAAGTCATAGCCTAAAAAGGCTTGTGTTTTGAAACAATGTAAAAATCTGACCTCAGCTTACAATAAATAATAATAATATTAGTTTTTTTATATTTTACATGTCAGAACTAATATTCTTCATAGATTACATCAAATTAAAGGGAGAAGTTCAAGTCATCTGATATTTACTACTATTCCACTTGACCTGCGATTGATTTATTCATTGATTTGAACGGGAAGAAACCCTTTTGATACAAAAATAATATAAAACAAATATCCTAATAACATGTAAAATAAATTAATGAAAAAGAAAACTTACACCTGGATGGAAATGTTGAAGAACTAAACAATTGAAACATAATTAATTACAGATCATTTGAATGCCTCAATAGAGTTTGGACTATTGAATCCATAATTTCTTGAATGTGTTTGTACAATAAGGATAATATTATTGTCTCTAGTTTCCTTTTGTCTCATTCTAAAATTAATAATGTTGAGAAGTTCTGAACAAAAATAGTGACCTGGTAAAAACTTTATTAAATTCTTGACTTTTTTCAATATTTTATAGAGCAAGTAAAAAGAATACCAATCAATATTGCCGAAACTGATAAAGGTAAAATAAACGAAAAATTGAAACATAAGAATTTCAATAATTGAACAAATTTGAGGAATCGGCTCTGCTTTGCTACTAGAGTTAAATAACTTCAAATACCACTACTTTTTATATATTTTATAATAATCAGTGGTGCAATAATTTTGTTCATGTAGATTCTAGAAAAATCAAGTATTTCAAATACTGTTGATTTGATTAAAAAAATTATTAATAATTTATATTATCGACCAAAGTCGACCATTTTTAAATATTTACAGTGATTTTACACGTTTTCGTAATAGAATTGAGATACATTAGATTTGTGGAAAAAAAGTTTTGATGTTTTCTCAAATCGTTTTTTCGGGTATTTGAAGTTTATTTTGGTTTTTTGCAAAGTGGTTTCCTAAGTCTGATAGTCTCTCCTTTATAGGTTTCACTTTTGTAGTTTCTCACAAAATGATATTTTTTCAAAATGCCTTCTAATGTCTGATAATATTCCACATGAAATCAAATACAGCAAAAATCTAAATGCATTCAATTGAAAGAGTTACTGTAACTTGACCACAAATTTTGATGCTTGAATTTGTTTTTAATTGTTTACATGATACGTATCAAAGATAACTTATGCTATTGAAATATAATTATTATTATAAACACACACAAGTGCACTCACACATATTCAAATACACATTTGTATTAGGTACATACCAATTGCATTGCAAAATTGACGCCTATGTAATTTAGGCCATTTTCCATACATTGTGCTAAGGCCAAATCATACTGTGGTACATTCACCAATCCAGATTTAATCAGGATATCTACAGCATCAATGTTATAGCGGTATTGTTCTTCACGACAGTCTGACAAATATCTAGTTACAAATTTATTTGTCCATTGTTGCCCGTAAACTCTTGGATCTTGGAAGGTCTTCAGTATACGTATTATTACTTCCTTGAAACGGAGAACTAAAGGTTCAGTATCATTCAGAGATGGGACAAGGCAATCTTGCAAGCTCTCCACGCACTGAAACAAATTACACTTGTAGTTTACCATTGAACAATAATTTGAATGATGATACTTTTAGGGTTAGGAGAGATACTATTATTTATTATACAGTGCGAGTCTCTAACATAGAACAAATTCACTAAATCAAAGGTGTTGTTTCTTTCGGAAATATGCTCGGAAACGTCGATTAGTATTTTAAAGTGCCCTTATTTTCATGCAAAAAAAATTATACAGTGTGTCTCAAATATGAGATATGACTTCATCGATAATTTTTTTAAATGACAACCCTGTTTTTTTAATGACTTATTAAAGGGTTCAACAAGTTGCACATGCCTGCCAAATTTCAATTTGTTACTCCTTGTCCACTGAACAGAATAATGCAATTGTAATCGCTCCTTTGTAGCTTATTACACCTCGTTTTATATACACATTTGTTAACTGTTGAATTATATTTTTCCACCAGATGCATTTCATTTAAACCTTTCAACATTGATATTTGCCTTTCATTTAAAATATTATGACAAGTATCACCATAATGTTTGAAAACAAAAAATTCAGTTGCTTGACCACAAGAAAATAGACCAAACAAAGCATAGTAATAATTTTTTCCCAAATCATTGAATTCCATATTTCTCATAAATGATATCTTTTGTATAGAAATGTAAAAAAAATTATATGAAAAATAAAGTAAATTATTATTGGTAATGCCATTATATTTCAATGCGGTATAATATAAAAATAACAATAAAAATTTATTAGCACTCTGGGGCAACTTCATTGATTCCAGTGGCGCATTTGCTTTTTCAGCTGCAGGAAAACCTGGAAAAACCTACAGCATCACATGCCATTATAATTAATAACAATAATAATGTTTATTTTAGAAAATGCCACAATTATTTGTATAAATAATAATGCCAACATGTAATAAAATGACGTCACACACAATTACATTTCAAAACTGATGTTTCAAAAAATCCTCAACACAATAGGGTTCTAGATCTACAAGTATCTTTTTGATGTTTTTTATTAATTGATTGCTACTAACAGAATGTCTAACAAGTACTGGTAAGTAGGGAGATTTTTCAGTAAGTCTCAATGTATGATATGGATAAATGAGGTCATGCCTCCTAGTGTTATATTCGTGTTCTGTAGCATTTAGATTGAAAAGTTCTTCATTTTTAAACGAATACATCAACCATTCAAAAATATACAGAGCATAATACAGACATGTTATTATTCTTGAAAACTGTATGTATTAATATATTCTGTTTGTGCTTGTCTATATTGATAAAAATATTGAAACATAATTTTGTTTTAAAAATAATTGATGAAATTTTCATTGGACTGTTACTTATCAAGGCCATGAAAGTATACTAGTTTCCAAAAACCAAAATAAGTGCATTTAAGAAATGCATTACACATAATAGAATAAAAAATATAAGGAACTAAAATCAGACAATCAGCAGTAATATTTTTGTAGTGAAAACGTAATATTTTTTTTTCAAGAATGTCGATATTCTGAGTTAGTATTCTACATGTCTGCACTGAAATTTGTGGATATTTTGAAAAGTATATTAGGCGACTTTCATGTTCTATTACATTTATCCTACATAAACAGTAATTCATCAGTAGCTTTGTACAACTACTTTTGTTTCAGTCATGTAATTTGTGAACAATTTTGAAATTATCTCACAAAAAAAAATAAAAGGATGTGAGATCAGGTTTGAACCCAACCACTAAATTATTTGGACAGTTTTTTTATAGAAAACTTGATTTTATATTTTTAAAGTTGTAGGTACACATCACAATTAGAATTCATTTATGCATTTTCACTCAACAGTTAGTAGTTTTCATCACATTATTCTCCTCACTAACACTTATAAAAAATTAATTACAGAACTAAACAAAATGTAGTTCTATTCAGTGATATCTATTCTGATATCAGTGATTTTTAATATTTCAGCTTGTCTGATGTCCAAAGTGAACTACACTTTTCAAATGACCCTAGTGTTATATTTGATTGTTACTGGCAAGTAATCAGTGTGCCTGCACTAAACCATGAGTTCAATGAAGGATATAAAATATTGCATTCTAATTTTTCTATAACTCAGATTCTTATTATGGCACTTTTAAAATCCACAAAAAAATAACTATCATGGAAAAAATATTTTTAGAAGACCAGAGTTTTTGATTTCCCCTTAAATATTCACAGAATCTTAGCCTGCAATCCCAAAAACTTCAACATGAATATTTGAAAAATTATTTTATGAAAATTATCCAAACAAAATTCGCCAGGTACTAGTAGCAAACATTATCTTTTGAACAAAAAATTACAAAATCTGAATACTCTCATTGCTGATCAGACTCGGTAACTCTCAGTTTTCCTATGCAGGACAAGTTTTTATAGCTGTTATTTTTTCCTTATTTTCATCCCTAACAGTGAACTTGCCTATTCAACTTTTCAAATACAAATTTTACAAGAGAGGTGAAGATAGTAAAATTGAAGACTAAAGTAAACTTATAGAAAAACCTTTTGCACAAGAGCCTGTGGGGCCATTTCCCTGTTCCTTAACATCAGCATCAGGCAATCTCGAATCATCAGCATGTTTGCATTCATATGAGTAAACTGCGCCTGCCCAGCTGTCAGCTGTACAAATTGCTCCACGTCCACTAAAAGTTTATCATACAGCAGGGTGAGATCGTCTGTGGCCAGACCAGTCTGCGGTAAGGGAAAGAGTGTTGACTGCTGATTTTCAATTGGAGTTAAGTTTTGCTTCTGGATCAGAATGGTGGCGTCCCGTTCATTGGGTAGGAATCCGGGAATGTTGCGTGCAAACTCTTCATATACAGCCATCTGGCTGGACGATATTCCTCCAACTTTTAGACGAACTGTTTCAGGCATTCTTTCTGCTTGGTATGTCAGTGCTACAGGATCACAGAATCGTCTGAAAAGTAATATTTTAATTAATTTTTTTTCAAAAATTAAATTCTTCAATAATTTGACAAATGGTTCAGAAATAGTAATTGATAATTCAAAATTCTAGACAGAAATTACTTTTTTCAAGATACGTGTCATGCCATTAGATTTGACTAGTCCAATCAACTGACAAATACGTGGGTCATTTATCATAATTCATGCATATTCAGATAAGATAAAAGAATCTCAATTCACTTTATTTGCCAATGACAACGCTTAAAAGAAACAAATAAATTTCTGGTTACTGCATCATTAGTGAGACAGAGGACTGTGTGAAAAGACTGAATGTTTGTAATTTTTGTCTCAGAAAAACCTGAACCAATCTCTCCAACTCTTCAAATTGAAAAGAAAAATATGAGAGTTTAGATTCACAACTATAATTTTAAAAATGATTTCATTGCGAATGTTTGGACTACAAACTGGATAAAAAAAGTAATTTAAGTGTAAAAAATGTTCATACATTTGAAAATAGTTGTTTCGGATCGACTTTTTCTTTCAATTTGCATTTGAAGAAAACTTCTGTGCATGATCTTTACATCGTTATAGGCAATTTTTACTGAAGTTGATTAATTTTTCAGAAGTTTCCCACACTTCCTATCCATTTGTTGCCTGAAAGAAATTTGTGAAGAATGAGGAGGTTGAAGACCAGTCTTTCAAGTGATTGAAGATTTATTGGTAACAATAGCCCAATAGTTTAAGAAAAACTAGTTATGAAACCAATTTCTAGATAATAATATTTTTTGAACTTATGCAAACTGATTAGTTTTCACTTCGAATCTATACTTATAAATGCCAAATAAGTCACTCGCTTAACACTCACTGATTCATCTCTATTTCTCTGTACTGGTAAGTCCAAGGAAATTAAAATTTGGTATATAGGTGCTTCCTAGGTCTTAAAAAGACCTACTTAAAAAGGATTTTCGAATATTCCAACTGGGGCTCTCCCATTGGGGATAAAAGGGGCGCTTATACATATGAAAATTAGCTTTTAATTACTGTTTCTCTGTACCGCTATATTTTTGGAGGATGAAATTTTGTATGTAGGTTCGTTTTATGTTGTAGATGTGTAATAAGAGAGGGTTTTCAAATGTTCCAACTGGGGCGCGTTCATCACTGTTTCTCCATGCCGGTATATTTTTGCAAGCTGAAATTTTGTATGTAGGTTCGTTTTATATTGTAGATATGCAATAAAAAAGGATTTTCAAATATTCCAACTGAGGCGCCAGCGGGGGGAAAAGGAGCGCCCATAAAGCAAAATTATCTTTTCATCACTGTTTCTCCATGCCCTTAAATTTCCGGTGGACGAATTTATATTTAGTATCAGCATTGCACCCGTGCGGAGCCGGAGCGGTTCGCTAGTTTACTATATGTAGGATCAGCTAGTTAGATAGTTTATTTATTCTTTATGTCATAGTACATAGATGGGATACATCAAAAGCTATCAAAATATGCCTACATACACATATACATATAAATACAAAAAGCATTTCTTCAAATCAATAAAACTATCTTTATGAAAAATGTGCACTAAACAAATCCATGGATATACTACATAGTCCATTATCAATAGTTCTGAGAGAGGCCAATGAGTTAGATTTGAATTTCTTTCTTTGGAACGAACCATTCAATCTAGTAAAAAACTATGTTTGTATATGTATATCAGTGGCACACGAATATTGACCTGCGGAGTTTTCATCTTTTTTTCCATGGCACAGTTTGTGAATGATGATCAGATAGGCTGAGATCAAAGTTGCAAAGAATTAAACTCGAGCTACAAGTGTTTGTCAAAAAATATGCTACTAACTGTTCAATGTTTGCCTTAAGTTCTGATTATATTGTTGGTTCGTCCCTAGGATTTGGATAATATCGCACAACATTGATGAATTATTAATTTTCGTTAAACTGTTAGTGCAGTTTTATTCATCACTAAAATTTTCACACATACATAATTACAAGACTAAATACGTGAGAAAACTTATTGGACTAGTCAAAAGTAAAACGCTAAAAGCAAAACAAAACATATAAATACATTTTCAAACCTGTCAGTAACTTAAACTAATAGAGAGGATAATTGCATGAGAAATAAAATAATATTACTAATTGCTGACCTATATAAACATATAATGGCCGTATCTTTTTCAAATGAGTTGGCAGAATTCAAATGAATTCATATGTCAGCTCTATTTATAAGTCATATATGTAGTCCGAATTTTGACAATGTCAGACAACATTTTTTTTTAAAGAATAACCGTTCCGCATGCTGGTGGGAAACTACGCAAGTAGAAAAAGACATTTGAGTTGTTAATGAAAGAGAAGGAAGTCAAAAATCTCGTCTGAACTGTATTTCACCGATAATTGTCAATAGACACATAGATAGATTTTTATTTAATCATGTTATGAATATAGCTTCAGCTATAATTCTCATGGATTTTTTCTGCATGCGAAAAGCTCTGATCGCGTAACTAGATCTACCCCAAAGGAGTTTCCCATATGAAAGGTGACAGTGAAAAAGTGAATGATAATAATAATAATAATATTTATTCATCCTCAAAGACGTTGACAAACGTATAGGATAGGTCAGTAACGATAAAATTGTAGATCAGTAGATAAAAATAATACAATAAAAATGTATACAAATAAGTCAGAATTACAAAATTTAAAACAATTGTAGTTATAAAAATTGAATATGTCATGCCAAAGCCGCATGAACCCATTCAGTCGAGATGGTCAGAGAGAAATTCGCCAATACTATAGTAGGCCTTGGAAAGAAGCAATGTTTTAACTGCTTTTTTAAATGCTACAGTGTTCATCTGTTTGAAATGGTCTGGTAACCGATTGAATAATTTTATTCTCATATATTTGGGAGAATGTTCGAATTTTATAGTTTTATGTTTAGGAATGCTCAACTCCTCTGCATATCGAGTTGGGTAGCTATGATAGAATGAGTTCTTAGTACAGTCTGTTATACATTCGCGAACATATAAAAGTATTTTAAAGATATAGATGCAGGGAAAGGTTAAAATTTGATGACTAATGAAAAATGTTTTGCATGATTTCCTCCAAGGGATGCCTAGTAATTTCCTAACAACTTTTTTTTGAGCAATGAAAACCCTATCTTTGTCAACACTGTTTCCCCATAGGATCACATTATAACTTAGATGGCTATAGACCAGACTGTAATATACATCTAAAATGGCGTGTAAAGGCATACAATTCCTAATTCTTGAGATTGCATAATACCCTTGATTGATTTTTTTACAAACAACTGTGATATGGTCCGACCACTTGTCTGACAGTTGTCAGAACAGTTGTCTACATGAACGCCAAGGAATGTTGTACAACTTGTGCATGCCAGTGTCATTCCATTGATTAGTAAGGCAAGCGATTGCTTTTTCAGATCGTTTTTTAAATTGAAATAGATATATTTTGTTTTGGTCAATCAGATTGTTCCTTTCACACCAATTTAAAAGAAAACTTCTGTGCATGATCTTTACATCGTTATAGGCAATTTTTACTGAAGTTGATTAATTTTTCAGAAGTTTCCCACACTTCCTATCCATTTGTTGCCTGAAAGAAATTTGTGAAGAATGAGGAGGTTGAAGACCAGTCTTTCAAGTGATTGAAGATTTATTGGTAACAATAGCCCAATAGTTTAAGAAAAACTAGTTATGAAACCAATTTCTAGATAATAATATTTTTTGAACTTATGCAAACTGATTAGTTTTCACTTCGAATCTATACTTATAAATGCCAAATAAGTCACTCGCTTAACACTCACTGATTCATCTCTATTTCTCTGTACTGGTAAGTCCAAGGAAATTAAAATTTGGTATATAGGTGCTTCCTAGGTCTTAAAAAGACCTACTTAAAAAGGATTTTCGAATATTCCAACTGGGGCTCTCCCATTGGGGATAAAAGGGGCGCTTATACATATGAAAATTAGCTTTTAATTCCTGTTTCTCTGTACCGCTATATTTTTGGAGGATGAAATTTTGTATGTAGGTTCGTTTTATGTTGTAGATGTGTAATAAGAGAGGGTTTTCAAATGNGAATGCTTTGTTTAACTGGCGAAGTAGAAACAACTGTGTCGAGAGTTTTTTATAGAGATGGTCAATATGTGATTCCCATCGAAGCGACATCTATAAATTATTCCTAATAATTTAACTTGAGCTTTGATTGTTACCCTGGTATTAGAAGATATATTTATTTTCTGAGTTTTTTCCCTGTTAAGTTTCAGTTTGTTGGAAGTAAACCAGTATTCTGCTTTGTCTTTGGTTTCTTTGGCATTTACAAGTAAATTTGAGATATCAGAATTTGATTGTAACATTGTGGTGTCGTTCTTCAAAATATAAAGTGAAGAACAACAGTCAATTCCATTTGAAGATCATTGAAAACATCACAAAACAAAGCAATGAAGTGCATTTTTAAATTAAATTATTGTAACCCACAATGAATTTGTATAAACGGAAAAATCTCTTGAAATCCGCATCAACACTTTAAATATATTTGTAGTTTTTAATGTAAAAACATAGTTATGTAAACTTCCCAAAAAAAAATTCAAAAACAAAAAAAAACAAATTGTGCACAATTTCCCCAGAAAACAAATTCCATAACGTAAATAGGACTCAAGTTGTGCAAAATAAACTGATCTTGTAATAGTAGTATCTAACTCTCTTGCAACAACTCTCACCGCATGGCACCCTGCTGCTATTTCTCCTATGTTACATCTAAACGGAACCACATTTGTTATGTCGATGTTTAATAATTAAAGATTGGAATCACACCATTCTTTCACTCTTCTTATGTTGAAGATGATTTGATCAAGTAAATTTTAGGCGGTATTGCTATGCCAGAGGATAGTGGTGTCATCAGCGAAACATGTGAATTTGCTACTTATGTCAACATGGACTAAGTCATTGACATAAATAAGAAACAACACCGGTCCCAAAACAGAACCTTATGGGACCCCACTGCCAATGAAACGTTCCTCTGATGAAATTCCATCTAATTGTTTCGTCATTCGAAGTTTTCTTGAAATCTTCTATTTTCCTGTTCAATAAGCATCTTTTTATCTTTCAATTCAGCTAGGACACAGTCTTTTTCCTCCAGTTTCTTTATTAGATACTCCCCTACACTTATGGCTTCGTCATGAACATCTGAAGAGGCTTGTTTTAATTTCTGAATATAATTTTCTTTTTCTTTATTGTCATTTTTTATTTTGTTCAGCTCTTCAGATAAACTGTTAATACTTTTCTCAGACTCTGATTCCATTATCTCAATTATAGCATCTCTTTCCTCTACCTGCTTTTATAAATTTTGGATAGCTTCCCCCATAGTACTAACCCGTTCTTCCTCTGTATTTTTCTTTTTGGCGCATTCTTTTGAGTAAAGTAATTTCAAACCTTCGATTATTGTATACTTTTTCATCCAGTCAATACAGCTAGCGTGGAACTTTCGAAGCACTGGATACAGCAGACATTTTGACCCTCTTTGTTCTTGCAGCATTTGAACTTTGATGTCATTGAGAACCAGTCCTTATCCTCTTAATACTGAACACGTCAATGTTTCAACTTTGCACTGTACTAATGCACCTATAGGCACTGTAATAATGAATTTATCTGAAGCAAAAAGTCCTGGGAGTCTTTAAATAACCGATAACTTTTTATAATTTATGTTTGGACTTGTAGGTTGTTTAGAAGCACTTCAGGTTACTAATTGCGCTTTTATAAGATGGGTCCTCTCCGAGATAGTCAATGAATGGATGCGGGAGCACCGAGAAGGCACTATGCAAAAATCGCAATTTCTGGCAATCTTCAAGCAACAGGAAACCTTGAAACACACGGAGCAGTCAACTGATATTTGCCTATATTTCTTATTCTACTATATTTTCATTCATCCATTAGTTTCATGGTATTATGTAAACAAGTTAATAAATATTTTGGGTAAGAGACAGGATGTTATTGAGCAATTTGATTGGCAATCAATATGTTTTGTGATCTTATGAAGTAATCATGATGATTATTATAAACCATTTGTCAATTTTCAGATTAAAAAAGTAGTTACCAACCTTCCATCCTGTCGTGCTGCTTTTCTACAGTCATAATCGCCTCCTAATCGCTTATCAATTTCTGGAATGGCCTTCTCCACTGCTGTCTTTTGAACAAAGGCACATGCTAGTTCCATGTTATCATTGGCAATAACACTGGCTGCTTGTTCGATCATCTCTTTCTGTTGTACAGTTGGCGATACTAAGTTTGTTAGAAGAGCTTGCTTGAGATGGGTGTTGATTGCGGAAAGAAGCTGTTCCCTGCAAGTTATCATAGCCATACCAGCCGTCAGGTTCCGAACCATATAGTGGGCAGCAAGTCGCATGCGATTTTCATCTGGATCAAGGGCAAAGTCCTTCCTGATAATCTGTTCGCAAGTTTGCAAAGCGATTTTGATTGACCTTCAAAATAATTTAATTTATTTAATGGTTTTTAAGAAAGAACTGTAATTATGAATTTTTATTTATTCAATTGTTCTATTTTTACTTGTATTTTATTTCACTATTATTTCATTTCAGGTTTGTTTTGGTTAATATAATTGTTATTTTCAGCTATTCATTTTCAATTTTCCTTTTTTAGTTGTTTCAGGGATTTCAAAACATTTTATATAGTAGACAATGGAAGTCTGAACTAATGAAATTCATCATGAAACATTGTCAATCACCTTCAAATAAATGGAAATAAAATATTTGGAAGAGTTTTTGGCTTTCTACTAGTAAAGTACTTATTTAAGGATTCCTCAAATGTTTCAATATTCTCATATTTTTACTGGAGCAGGTAGAATGTAAAATATATGAGAATTCATTGGCTAAAAAACAAGTTCTCAATTTTCCAGACTTTTCAATTCCATTTTGCAAAGGAAAGCTATCAAAATTCACCTCGATTTGAGCTTTGAGCTTCAAAGAGTTATACAGGGGCAAATTCAAGACTCAATGTACCTGACGTTTCCAGTCAAAAATGCAATAAATTAGAAATGCCTAAAATACAATATAATTCAATACTTGACATCACAGTACTAACTACAATATCCCACTGGACTGACGATACATATTAGATTTTTTAACAGACTGCCAACTGAAGTCAAACTGGCCATATGCTGTAAAGGTATATATTGGAGGAAGTTGACATCTTGAAACTCTTCGATGAAAATAAAGAAGTAGTTTTGAAAAATACATTTTTGTTAGAAAAAAATATTCGAAATTTTAATAGGTACCAGGTTGACTTAAATGTATAACCATCGAATCACTTGTACTTGATTTTATTTGTATCTATTATTCATATTTATATTTGAAGTATAGTGCCCCTTTTTTGTTTTGTCAATACCGTTTTCCTCATTATGGCTCACTATGATAGCTGTCTGTGATTACAGGTTTTTCTATTGAAAACAAACAAAAATCACTCTACTATGAACATCTGGTCCACATTGCAATTTCTCACATCAGAACTGACAAAGAATGTATGTTATGCTGATTGATATGAGGAAGTTAATAAAAATGTTTAAGTAAAAATCAATAACAACTTTTGACAAGAAAATATAAAAATTCAAATTATAATTTGATGATTGATGATCATTGAAATATTTTTTTTTATGTTTTTGGAAAATATATGAACTGTTTTAGATTTTTTTATTTTTTATACAATTTATTGAAAACTTTCAAAGGATTTGAAATCAGATTATTCTTTCCTTTGGTATTATTAAATCATTACATCAAGATGAAAATTATTGAAACTTTTTGTCCACATTTTTCGTTTAATTATTTTTCACGGTTTAATTTTTTTATGACTACTTTTGATCTGATGTAACTGTGTTTAGTGTGATGAAAACCCAACTTGAAATGGATGGATGTAGGCGTTACTACGTGGTAGGAGATCATCATGAAAATTTAGAAATAAAACTTCCTATGTTTGTATACCACTTGTATTTGTAACTAACGTTACTGCAGTAACGTTAGTTACATTTTCAAACAAATACAATAAACTAAAATAATTGATAATAATTATCATTATATACCTATAAATCACTGTAGGTAATAACAGAGGTACTTAACTTAATTGAGTTCATGCATATTTTTTTCCTGTGACAATGTGGGTACGCTAAGATAAGCGTACCTACAGGTGAACAAAATTCATGTACTCAATTAAGTTAAGGACCTCTGTTATTACCTACAGTGATGTATAGATATATAAGGGTTAATTAACTTATCAATTATTTAAGTTTATTGTATTTGTTTGAAAATGTCCCTATAGGACGACACTGCAGTAACACTAGTTACAAATACAAGTGGTATAAAAACATAGAAGTTTTATTTGTCAATTTTCAAAATCTAACTTGTTAGAATATTATTTGGTTCATTAAACACAGGGGTTGTTCGTTATCTTCCTTAGGAACATTCTGCAACTCATTTAAACCAGTGTAGTTTTTCTCATATTACGTAATCTTTGGTCAGAAGTTCATTCTGATGGAAAATTATGATTGATTTGAATGAATGAAAACCCACGTTTAAGAGGTGTGTACATTTGGCGTAAATGCAGTAAGATTGTTTAAATAGTTTATTATCATCTTGGGAAAATTGCAGAGGAGAAAATTACAAGAACAAGACAGCCACATTTTACACATTGTGAAAATCTTAAACATTTTTTTGAACGTATTATAAATACTGTGAAATCAATAAATTGCAAAAATGACATTTTGATTGCCCAATATAATTTATCAAATATTTTTTGAAGTCGTTCATTTTATTGTATTCTTCAAACACTATTGAATTCAATGAGTAAAAAAAAAAGAAAAAACCATCTGAATATCACAAAAAAATTGAAGACATCTGCACGTTAGCCAATAGGCTAATTCAATTCGATTCAATATATACTTATTGTCTGAAGAATGTGTGCATATTGACGGAGCATTGCAGAAAATAATAGCAAGTGGGATATTACATTGACAAAAATAAATACATGTGAAAAGAATAATCATAAAAAAAAACATTGAAAAATATAAAATCAGAGTCAATAAAATAAACTTTCATAACTATTACAGTTGGTCGTAGTTAGTTAAAATTATCATAGAATTCAGCTAGGCTATTTTAATGATAACTTAATTTTGGTGGCATCTGAATGAAAACACTTTTGTCTAATTACCACTAGTTGATTTTATTTATACGACCGGTTTCGGGTTTAACCCCATCATCAAGTGAAAACTTTTCACTTGATAACCCATTAAATGTTGAATAGGAAATACACAGTTGAAATTTTGCAAAATTATTTTTAGAAAGTTACTCAAAGAGTCTTCTAATTGTAACACATTGTTCCATTAGAAATAATTATCTGACTGGACCATAGATCATAGTAATTTTTTTAGAATAAAACAGTCCTCAATTTAATATTATCACGGTTTTGTAAACCTTTTATAGTGAAAATCAAAATAAATATTATAAGTGTTGAATGTTCTTTAGTTTCTTTTTAGATTAGTTCAAATGTATTTCTCAATTCAGTTGTCAGTTCATTATAAATTCTTATTCACGGGTAAAAAAAGTAATTTTCAATTTATATTGTCATAGTCCCAAAAACTGTAAAAACTATTTTCAGTCTAATGTCATGTTTCAACAGCTTGTTTGATCCATACCATCTATAATCGCAATAAATCGAAAACTTGTTTTCGGTTATGATTGTTATATACAATATGATACTTAAATATTATTAATATAACATAAATTGATTGATTGAATATATCATACCTATCAACAACTGGAGCTATCCACTCTTGCACAGCTCTCTCAATAGATGTTCTTACAAGTGCCTTTAGTTGAGGCTGTGTCTGAAATAGTAAAATCGTAGGAGACACTACTGTATGAGTCTGAAATGCTTGCATGCCTGTGATTTGAATGTCTGAATATCCAAAACGTGGTTCTGGGGGTGCTGATAGTCCTGAAGTTGGAGTAGTGCTATTGTTTTGAACAATTGGAGAGCTGGTTTGCTGGCTTGGAAGAATGTTTGCCAGTTCTTGGTCAGTTAAGTTACCACCTGAATTTCCTAAAAAAAAAGAAAAGAAATAGAGGAGCTGATTTTCTTCCTGTCTTCGAAAGTTTCCCAAATTTTTTTGTATGAAGGTGGAGAAGTAGAAAGTCGAAAATATTTTTTCCCAAAAATTATTCTCCTTCAAATTTAAGGAGTTATCAAATCATTGACAGTAATTAAATACATGACTGATCCTCTGTACTGTTCTGATTTGGCACCCAATGAATTCTTGTTCTTGGTCAACAATTTACGAGCGCCGAAGAAACAGTTGAGGTGTTCAGAAACCATTCCTGGTAGTCAAGCAAACACAGGTAGTGGCAGCAGCCCAGGTAAATGGGATCATCTATCCCTATAAATTAAGACACAGAGTTCAAATGAATTAGTCTAATTGTAAAACTCCAGGCATCACCAGAAGATTACAAATGATACTTTGCCATACCATTGTGAAAATAATACTTATGAGGATAAAAACCATAGAACACAGAGAGAAATCCGAAAAAACAGCTCATCATACTTTGTCCATAACTAACCATCAATCAAATCAGAATATGTAGCACAAATAGTAATTTTAAATACTTAGTATATCATCATCATGATACTCAGGTCTTCACTCAGACAGCAAGCTCAACTGGAAATTTTCATATTAATATAAAAAAAGACTGCTCGATGTGAAAACCAAATAACTTCATTTGCTTATTGAAAGAAAACTAGATCAATCCATCAAAAATAAATTACTGAGTTACTGAACAGAATTCTGGCTATTTTGGACACAAGAAATGGAGTTGTGGCGCTGTGCTAGCATGGCAAATAAAACTTTCTCTATAATGAAGAGCTTTATGTGCAAAAACATACAGATTAATAGTTTTTAAAATTATAGAACTTCTTTACTTATTGTCTCAGATATTAAGGTAGCTCTCGCTCCAGAAATAATTTTTAACTGATTTGTTGTACTTTACATGGATCTAGCATTGTGATTAAATTTGTATATTCGGATTGAATTTGAAGTTGTTTATCATTATTGAGTGGTTAACGAAAAAACATTTGAACATTCCTATAACATTGGAAGTTTGGAGCAAGATGGTGAGTTAGATATGAACACTGACAGTTACCAAATTTAAAAGAATCAATATTATTGTAAGAATTCAGGTCATGGGCAAACAGTGCACCGTGGACATGTACCATTCCAGCAATTTTGCTCACTGTGTTTATATCAGAAATTTACGATATTGAGTATTTGGTGAAAATGATGTTTTGTCAAAGATCCATTTGTACTATATAACAGAATCAACATACCTATACCATGATGCAGCAAAGATTCTTTTTTCAAAGGCTGGGATAGTTGATATTCAATTTTTCTTAATCTCTCAGGATCTTTTAAACAAACAGAAGGCTTCAAATTGTTAACATCTATTTCCAGGTGTTTACACAGCACTTCGATTTCAAACTTCAGAGTCAATTTCAAATCTGCTTCAGAGTGCAATTCAGCCAATACATTCATCAAAGCTATTGTCCAAGGATTGGGCGGCTTGAATACCTTGCTCTTAGCACAGGACTCCAAAACTTTTGCGACAAAAGGAACTACATAGAGAAGTTCTTGTTGACCCTTCGCATAAGCTTCTACAAGAAGAGATTTCAAGTCTAAATCAATTTGTAGAATAGGTTTGTTTCTTGCAAGAGTCAGCATCCCTAGCCAATGTCCCAGGTTTTTGAGAAGAGACCTAAAACCAAAATTTGTTAATAAAATATATTCCCTTTTCCTCCCTTCCTACCTATCAGAAAAATTTGCAATTGCTTTGTCAGACCTAAGAAGCACCCTGATATTTCTGAATGTTTCTCTGGTAACCAATTTCAGGATGTCATTTAAACCAAGTGTGTCTAAAAAGTTGGAGTACAATCCATGGAAGTTGAACTCAATGGAGGCTCTCTTCATGACCAAGTATTGCGCCAACCAAGGATAATATTCTTCGATAACTAATTCTCTCAATTCATCACATTTTTGCTTCAAATTTAGCTGACTCAGGTTATTGAATATGAATGCAGTCTTATCTTGTAGAGGTTCAGGAGGAGCAACAGCTTTCTCTTCTTTTTCTGTGGCTACTAAGAGTGTGTCAATGTTGGTTGCATTTGCTATCGAAGGTCTGCTACCCATAGTGCTTACAGGAGTTGTATTTGCTTTACTCGGTGCTGTAGTAGAAGCAATACTGGCTTTATATACCGTTGGAGTAGATGTTGGGGGAGCCAACATAGCGGCCAAGCTGGCTGGCAAAACAGGACCCTCCGGCTTATGCGGGGGCTCCATACTTTGCAAACCATACTCAACATATTCCTGGAGGTGTTGCGGAAATTCACTGAAGTGGGGAATAGCTCTTACATGTTCGCAGTATTTATGGTACTCTTTCAAACGGCTCTTAAATCTGTCGAGAGCCGCGATTCCAAAATAGTACATTTTAGAACCCTCTTGCTTTTTGAGGGCTTCCAGAACAAATCTAAGAGCCAAACCAAGGGCTACATAGGAAGCTACTATACCTTTCTCAATAATACCTCCAAATAGTTGTGCTGTTACATGTAGTTCTTTGTCAGGATATTGAGGGAAAAACTTGTACTCTTCAAAAAGACTTCTCAACATACAGTTGAATACCTGAAAGTAACATTAACATATTTTTATTTCTAAATATTATTGTCATTACAAAATTTTATATATATATATA